GTAGCTCGGGCCGGGCTGCAACTGTTGTCCTAGGAGGGCAACGATCAGGGAGCTAAGTGATCCTGCTCCAGCCCCTAGAGCTAGTGGGCGCCCGCTCATGAACCCAAAAGCTTCGGGAGAAACTCGTCAGCAGCATGAAAGGACATTCTCTCATTTCTTGCTTTGGTTGAGGGCATGAGATGCAGGCAGCCCCGGCAAACTCTAGCCGCCATCCCGGCCGGCGCCATTCCCGCGCCCACTATGGCAGTATCCTTAGTCCCTGCGACCACCGCATTCCCCGTTTGAGCTCAACAAGCATGCCATCTCCATCTCTTTTTGGGGATGTCTACTCGCAGTGGGGCAACTCTCAGATTGGGCAAGCAGCAGCAACGCAACAAACACAAAGCCTTGCAAAACGAGCTATGCAGCTGCTCTCTCTCTCTTTCCCTCTCTCCCGCTTTCCCTCCCCATTTTCTTTGCCCGACGCTACCGCTATGAGGGCACATCGGAGAAAACCCCCTAATCCCGGCGCTATGCAGTTTACACGATCTATCGTGTTTCACAGATTAGCGGAAATGGAATTGAAATCTGTTGCCCATGTTGACCCCTGATCAGGTTCGTTTGAAACAGTCCCGACTTGAGGACCCGGGAAAACACATGCACAGAAGTCCCTCTAGCAGCTGTCTAGCTTCGTCGTTTCGAACATTCAACAAAACATGATTTTGCTACACCCACCGCTTAGTGCCGATTGCAGTTAGCAGGGAATCTCCAGCCGCAAGGACTTCTAAGAAAGTGCCCAAACCTTGACGAACCCTTTAGCATTTACTGACGAACCCCTCCAAGGGGCTAGCTGCTTGACTGCCGCTAGGCCGTACGGCCGGTTGCTCTCACGGTGCGCGCTTTGGTGCAGCGGTAAGGCACAAACAATGCCTTTGCAACCACGCTGGCCCTGCAGAAGCGGTAAGGCACATACTTTCGTGGAACAGGGGCACTTTTGGCACCCGTCGCATTTTGTTGGGACGACGCTTCCTTGAAGCCAAAATCCAGCACCACCTACTTGTAGCGTCATGGGCCAGTGCACATCTGAAAAAGGTTACGAGCCGAAAGTCTCCATATTCCATGGCCGACAAGCAGGCTGAGGCTTCGAGATCCTGCTCAAGATTTCTGAACCAGTGTTTCTTGTCAACACTGGCCGACTAAAGCTAGGCAACGGCGCCTGTAACGTGCCTTGCGTTTTTGCATATAGCTTGTTGTTGCATGTTGCCAAATCCCTGGGAAAAAGCACTATCGACAGCAAAACGCATCAAGCAGAAGCGCCCATAACCCTGAAACAGAACAAGTTTTTTTTTGACACTCACACTCGGACAAGCCTGGCAAGGTCCACCACGATACTGTCTTCAAGGATCGTTAACATACGCATCAAAGTAGGTTCAGTTCATATTTTTTGAGGTTTACAGTGCTACAACTTAGGCGGCGGCAGCGTTTTCGCGCAGACTCCGAGCGAAACTTTGTCAAGCCTTACACTTTCCGCAGAGGCCGGCCAAGGCTTTATACGCTTGTGACAACGTGTCGTGTTCCACATCTTTGCACAGTATTTCGTACAGAAGGCCAGAACGCTGTAAATGCCAGCGTTTTGGGCATGGTCGCCCCAGGCATGGATGCTTGCGATATGATAACATGTCTTGTTCCACATCCTTGCGCAGTATGTTGTACGAACAGGCAAAAACGCTTTAGATACCAGTGTTTTGGGTATGGACGCAATATGAATATGACGTTCTTNNNNAAACAGAAATAACACAGAAACCTGAATAAGTGGCTAAAACGCAGGGCGCATCACAGGCGCCGTCACCTAAAGCTACCCTCAAATGCCGCGAGCTGATCATACATCACACTTGTCACCGGCTCGTACACACCAGAGTCTTGACACCAGTGAGGGGTCCGTTTGCAGCTCAACGGCACGTGCAATGAGGCACGGGGCAACGAACTCAAAAAGCACTGCAAATTCCTGTAAGGCGCTCCCGCCAGAGGCATGGCTGGGATCAGCTTGGCTGCTAGCCAGGCCGCTTTCCCAACCAGAACTGTAACCGTTGCTGTCAAGAGCTGGAACGCAGTTTGTCAAAGACTCTGTTGGCTTCGCTCCATGGTCATGATCTTCAGCGATTCCTCCCAAAGAGAGGAATCGAATTCTGTCTAAGTTTCCGCCAAACGTGCGAGCAGGGGTGTCCTTCAGCTCCCGGAGTTCCTTTATGAGCTCAGCCTCTGGCATCCTCTCTCGCAGGCTTGCCCTCGAGCCACCTGCAGCACAAATGGAGCGCCAAACTCGAGGGCATGCTTGTCTCGCCTGATGTTGCCGATGGTGACGAAGCTTGACTCATGGCGCTGCCCGTCACAGTCGAGGAGGACTGACTTCGAGACGGGACCGTCGGCCTAAGATGTGCGCAACTACCCTGCATGCGGCTAGACATCGAATCCAAGCGACTGCTTCTGGAGCTTCTGGCTTTGAAGGCTCATCGACCGTTGCAGCGGAAGCCTGCAGTTCTGGCTGCCTCGCGGGTCGTGGGGGGGCAACGTCGTCTTGTTTGGTCGGAGCTAAAGCTCCGCTTATCTCCGAAGGCAACACTGAAACACCGTTCTGTGGCCTTGAGAGGCACCGGAAAGCTGCTTGCTGTACGAGCTCTGGGATGACAAAGAATTCTGTCGCGCATAAACCGCCCACGAGGTCGATCGTTGTAGTGCACCAATTGACATCCCGGACCTCTGGCGATTCAAACTGCGCTTGAATCCCGAAAGGCAAGTTGCAGCCCACACAGGATAAGCCTTATCACACTCCTGCAGACTGTACCCTCAAAAGATCACCTAGGTTCAGCTGAGCCCAGCCTCGGAGGCGTGAAACATTCCGAGGCCCTTGGAGACCTGCCGTGATGAGGTGTTGACAGCCCGTTTGCGGGAGCTGCTCTGACAGTCTGCTGCAGACTAGCGACGGCAGGGATCGGCCATCCAACGGTGACAAAAATCGCGGCTCCAGCAGCACCGCATGCATAGAGGATTTTTCGGGGTTATCAAACCGGATGCAAAGCGTCAGCCAGTCGCCAGTGTTGGGTGCACTAGGCTTCTGAATAAAACCTGGGCAGATGGCACACTTCCTACATGGATCTCTCCACCTGAGCTGCCTGAACTCAACTCTGGCCGAGAAACAAGGGTGGCCGTGGCGTCTGTGAGGACAAATCACAGCAGACAAACCATTGAGGTGTATCATGTGGCCTTGGCTTCTCTGCACTCGTCCAGAGACAGTTGCCCCCTTAATCACACTTCGTGGGTGCCTGGCTTATGAGGTCGCCTTTTGATTCTTGGAAACATGGTGTTTTTGGGGCATGTGCTAGGCCGCATTGCAACTCAGACCCAGCAAATTGCTGGCCTCGCGAAAAAATGCCGTTGGATGCCATGCTGTCGACATGCTCAGGCGAGTTATGCAGCAGCAAAAGCAAAGCTTCTAGACATGCATCTCCACTTCCGATCAGGTCATGGCAGGAGCCACACAAATCACGTGCTACCGACAGCATGTTCAAGATGTTGTCCGAACAATCGGGTGCAATTGTCTATGTGTTGAGGGGGACTCGGCATTCGCTTGCAGGGATGCATCGGCGAAGTTCGCGAAACGAAACTCATGGACACTTGAGATCTGTGCCACAAAATCGACAAGAATACCGAAGCTTGTCCAAGGCTCTGCTCTGGAGGCCTCCCAGGACAACATGTGTGCCCAGTCGCCACTCGGAGTGTACTGGAATGACTTCTCCAAGGTTTGCTCGACACCTGAAGTTCTGTCACAGTTGCTCCCAAGCCTGAACGACTTTCCGTCACTTTGAGGTGAGGGCTCACGGACAAAAATGCTTCTTGAGTCGTCCAGAACCGCGAGCGTGCAGTTGGGTATGTCGACACCTGCACCGAAAGACTTGACTTCGAGGCCTAGGACGTTGCTATTACCTTCGCAAATTCAAGCTTTTGGCTGAAGCACCTGTGACCACTGCTGGGCATAAACTGAACTTCGAAGATTGAGAGCAGTCCAGCATCACAAGATCGCCTGTTCAAGCAGCATTGAGCCCAGGTTCCAGCAGGTGCAGAAAAGGCCTGGCTCCAGCTCATGGAATGGTTGAATGCTGCCGGTGAGCTCCTGGCTCGTCAGGCGCGTCACTCAGTCTGTGGCATCGATCTCACAAACGACACCGTGCTGCTTGCATCTAGGGGCAGACACGAGTTCGGAATCTGCTTCATCTGCACCTGTACTCATCTCGGCAATAGGCAGCAGCCATGACAGCCTCAGCACGACTCACCTGTACCTCATGAACATCAAGGCCGTCACAGACATTAGTAAGGCATGCCGCCGCTCGCGAGGCGGTGGATCAGTGGCTGCCAAGACAGATGACAAGCGGATCACTGTCGGAAACTCCTCCTCCACGTGTCGCGTGTGCCTCATCAGACGGGCCATGCAGTGCAAAGCCATGGAACCTCGATAACGCAGTGCAAACCGGCTGTGATCCGGACGCCCCGACAAGCCAGGACAGCATTGCCAGAAAGCCGCCAGTGCAAGTTGGAATTGGCCGGCATGGCACTGGACCTTCGACCTGTGCTTTGGTGCGGACCGCACTAGCATTCCTACGAGTAGAACGTGAATGGGCCCTTGAGGACCTGGCCTTCGACATGTGGTTCGATGACGGTTCCATCTCTTCAATTGCTTGCAGACTGGAAGACAGCTCCAGCCGGGCCTTTCCCTCAAACGATGCTGGGGGACACGCACACCGTTTCGATGTGAGCAGAGTGCGAGAGGGTGCGCCTTCTTCTGGAACACGCTCACTAAGTATGGTGTCGTGGCATCGGGTGGTGTCTGGTAGATTCTTGAGATACAAAGCCAGAAAACGTGGCTCCAGAAGCAAGGCTCCTGAAGCACCTGCGCTGGTCTCCGTCGTTTTCTCCCATCTCACGCAGAGCCTCAGCTTGCTGTCTCCCTCCGGCTTTGGCAAGAAGCATGGATGACCATATCGACGATGTTCTCGAACCGTGGCAGTCAAGCCGTTAAGATGCTGCATCTTGCTGCTCTGCAGGCCGCCAATGATATGGCGAGTTCCCAAGCGCCAGTCTCTGTGAATCGTACGCAAAGCGCGGAATGCCGCGTGGCACTCCCCGATCTTGAAAGTTCGCGACGGATCCAACACGGCCACCATGCAATCAATTGGCGTGACATCGAGGACAACTGCTGCAGCACCTCGAAATTCTGGATGCACATCGTTTCCAAGCACGACAAAGTCGCCGGCTGCAAAGTTTTCCTTCGGAAAAAGTGAAGACTGGAACGAACGATCATTTAGAAGCCGAAAAGCGCTGTCCGTGTAGTACCTATGGCAGAAACAGCCAGAACGAAACAAATTTCAACTGAATTCTGCTTTGGAGCAGCATTTAGTAGCCTGCTGCTGTTCGGCAACACCTGAAGGCTTCAAACTACGGCCATGCAGCAAGACGACAAATGACGACAACACCCGATTAGAAACTCACAATCTCGTAGCTGATGCGCCTGCTTGCAGGGATCAAGACGCGAGTCATCCTTCAGCTTCGGTGCCTTGGCTGCTCGGGTGCCCCATGGCTTAGGCCCGCCCACAATGGACCCCAAGCACTGCTTTGGCTCTCCACTCCCTTTCACGGCCGAGCGGCGTTGGCCACTGGTCGGGCATCGCACAAGGAAGCAAACTTGCAAACTCGCGGAAGCCTGAGATCGTAGGAACCGCAGAACTGACAACTGCTCAAGTCTGAATGTTGAAAGAATTTTTTTGTGTACAGGGATCTGGTGGCTCTGCGAGGTGCAAGCGGCCTGTGCCCGCAGCGGCTCCACGAGTTCCGACTGTCAGCGCACATCTTCGACTGAAATCAGGTACAAATACACCACAGGCGCCGAATTCTGTGGTCCGATACCTTGATGAACGCGCCTGTCTCGTGCTCATTTGGCCTTCAATACCGCTGGACATCATAAAACAAATTCCCAGCAGGGCAAACACTAGGAGGCTCCTAGACACTCCTCGGTGTGGTCTCGAAATCCCAACAGTCCATAGTGTATGCGGTGCAAGCATTTCGCGAAACTCAATACCGTGCTCCTCCCACAGTGCTGCGCACAGTGTGAGGCGCTCATCGTCTTCCCGTCAATCTCGTTCGTGCTGTGCTGTGCATAATTATTTTGGGTTCGACTCGTCGTGTTTTCATTCCCACCTCCATGAATCGCACTCTTGCCATAGCCACACGGAGATTCTTATTTTCGGGTGCGTGCCAGTCGTGCTCCCGCCACGGGGTGGTGAGCAATTTGGACTCATGGGGTGGGGTTCTTAGGCATGTAGAATGGGGCCTACATCGGCATGTACACGAGCGAAGCGGCTCACAGCTGGGATTCTGTGCAAGGTAAACCGAAAGTACTGCAGCAATCCTACCGACAACCTCGGAGAGGGCTTTAGTTCAACAACAACCACAACCAAGTTGGCAAAGAACTTGTCCGAGCAACTCCTCAGGCGAATGGCGCACTGCAGGACGACCAGGCCACCAAGCTTCGAAGAGTTTGGTGATACCGGCTGCACAACCTGCAAGCGGGGGGAAACGAAACCTTCCTTGCGAGAGTTCTTTCTCTTTGCAAAAGTGGGGAGGGCAAGAGAGCGAGCGAGCGAGAGAGAGAGAGAGAGAGGCAGCGCGGGATGACTTACACCAGCTTCAGAATGAGCAAATCCCTCATGCTATGAGCGTGACTTGATTTCATTTTGTCTGTTTACCCGACTATAATTCATCATTTCCTTGCAGGTGCATGGCAGCGAATGCGTACATGCTGAGCCTGTGCGTTCTGCCGCATCCATGGCAGAGTGCCATGCATGAGGCAAGCTTGCAGCCAATAAGAAATCGCAGCATGCTGACATTCAACAGTTTCCGTATCACGACCGCACAAAGTAGCTTGGATTACTCAAATCAACAGCACCGAACTAAACGGGCTTTTTGCATGCAGGCCACAGTTCGGCACGGAAGCTTTGACTCCGAGAGGCCCGATCACAGCTTCTGAGGTTACTGGGTCATTCCAAGTGCGCGCAGCATCAGCTGCACCACCTTCAAAAGGCCCAGAAGAACCTGCCGGCTGATGTTTCCAGCCGCCCCGGAAAACACAACCGGACGCCTGCAGCTGGCCAGCGATCCAAACCAGAGGAAACTAGCTGACACTCATCAAAGCTACGGCACAAAGCATGAGTCAGCTGTTGGCAAGCAGCTCTGGTTTGAACTCCAGCGAAAATCATGGCAGCACTGAGCGCTGCTGGAATGTAATGGAAGGGGTTATCGCTTGCTAGTCCCTGGGTAAGAACTTCTTCGCAGTTTGTGCGATCACCACGGACACTACCCCGAACGCCACGCAACCCTGCAACGCCGGCACCTCGGTCTGCTGCATGTGTCGCATGCGTGTGTATTCATGCAGTTAAACAGCCCTTCATCGCCAACTGTTTGTAGCTGCATCTGAGCTGATAATGGGCTCTTCTTCTGACGCGCAAAACGTAGCTGGGACGTGCATCAGACTGAGCAGCAGGCCACCTCTGCAAGCTGGCTATTTATGGCCGCGGCCAATGTAGCCACAAGCGCGCCGACGACCGCACACGGCCCTCCGAGCTCCAAGGCTTGTTGCCGCTTCCTCAGTCTCGTGGCTATCTTGCGCTGAAGCGAGGCCTGGTTCCGGGTCCTCGCTGCCTCACACTTCCGTGCTTAAATGCGAACTTGCAACTTGCAAGCGTGCTATCTGCCACGATCTCGGGCGTGGTGCTCCACATCTTCACTCTGCATCTGCTTTAACTTTAACTATAACCTTGGAGGCGAGATGGAATTCCCCTGTGCCAGTTCCGGCAGGCACCGGCTGTGTATGGTGTTCTTGGAAGCATGAGAACCTTCTTGGAGCGCCAAGGGAAAACAGAATCAATTACGTGGACAAACAGACGAGCGCGGCATCATGACCAGTTCGATGTCAGGGGCGGTAAGGGAAGAAGAGAAGACGCCAAGATGCAAACCGATCGGGTCCAGAAAGCTAGCTTTCGGAAGGAAGGTTGGAACGGCCTGAGATTTTGGCGTAAGGTGAAGGAGCGGAAACCCGAAACCCATATCTGCTGGTCCAAGTAGTACGACGCGAGCCAATGAACCCATCCAAGCGCAACTTGCGGGCGAAGTCGCGAAAGCCACGGCGAGGTGGAAGGTCTAACAAGGGCGCTGAATGGCGGCGCTGATGCGGGCACAGGTGGCAGTGCGAGGGAATGCAGGCGTGAAGTTGTAAGATGGAAAGTGTTGCCCAACGAGTGGGGTGGAAACAGAATCGGGGAGGGAGCGCAAGGGCGCGCGCCAGATGCTGGCGCATTACAGCCGAAGCAGGAAACAAGCATCAGCAAATCAAACGTGGCATCCTTTCGCATACCACTGCTGGCAGAGACACAGGCTTGATCTTGCCAGACGCAGTTAGAGCCTCGATCAGCCTCGTGGAAGAAGGGAACAAGGGCTCGGACAACAGAAAGGCCAGCTCGGCGAAGAAATGAAAGGCGGCTGGAAGCCGGAGAGAGGGTGCCCCCGCTCCACGTGAAGCTCAAAATTGTAGCGAGGGCCTGTAGCTTCCACCGCTGCATTCTCCTTTCAGGCCATGTGTGGTAGCCTCCTTCTCTGGATCTGGTGGAAATGTCGGTGCCATCCTTGCAACGTCAGCCTCCGGGCCATCACCAAGTCCCGACACAAGTTCAATGCGAACCCATCATGTCGGTCTTGTCCGAATTGCTGCCACGACTCTTGGTCAGGAAGCCCTTGTACTCGGCAGGTGGCTCAGTCATTGAGAAGGGCTTGTCAAGACTCCAGCGAAGTCCGAGAACACAGCCTCCCACAACTGCAGAGACGGCGCATGATTTGTGGAACTGTCGAACCAACAGAGTTCGGACAGTGAAACGGGCACTTGCCTCAGATGGATTGACGTCCGGATTCGAAGACACCCCAGGCTACAGCTGCATTGGCGGCGATTGCGGCATAGTCGAAGCTTCCAGCAGCGACCATGCCCACGTACCTGAGCTCAACGGACTCCCCGCCGCCTGTCAAGCGCAATGAAAGCGAGTCGCTTGTACACCCCGACAAGCGCAATAATGGCTGCCCCGGCATATCGAATCTGGGATTCCTTCTGTTTCGCCAACAGAATAACAGTAGGCAAAAAAACTTGTCGAACAAGCAGGTAAGGCGGAGTCCTGAATAGTGATCATGCGGTCTTCCGCAACAAGCTGAGAATACGGCTGCTGGCTCTCCTCCATGCATGCAGGCCGATGCTGCCAGAGTAGAACCACTTGCACACCACACGCTTTGACAATGAAGACCTAATGCTGAAACTCAATTCCTGCGAGAAGCTCTGAAAATTTGGTTAGCTAAAATGTTGAAACTTAGCTGACAGAAGCTCCACCAACTGCGTCAAGCTCCTTGGCCACATCGCTTTGTCGCATAGATGTCCGGGCCTGCTGCACAAGTGTACACACAAGCCTCTTCTTGTTCTTGTTTGCTCCCACAACAACACAAAGAACCGAGCACGAGCAAACGGACTGACGCGATGGACGACCACAACCGTTAGCAACACAGCCGCAATTCTGTCACCTGCAACACCACAATCATAGAACAATCAATTCAATCACACAAACAGTCATGGTAGCACTCTAGCGGTAAAAGACTGGGTCAACATATGTTTAGTTGTGGACACAGCGGGTTGCTTACCTTGCCAGAACCCCTAATAGCTAAAATTAGCTAAAGCTATCTAATGAAAAATCAATTGAATTTGGTTGATTTTCCTTTTGCAATTTCGGCGGGTCCCGGAGCGTTTTTGGACCCGGCTGGTGCACTTGTGGCTGCTGTTGACTAGCTTTATTTCAACCCCGGAATCCGTCCCCGAAACTCTTCAAAACATGCGGTAGATTATGGTAGATTTGGTTGTTTTTTCTGTTGGAATTTTGGGGGTCCAGCTGTGGTGGACACAGCAGGCTCCTTATCTACCCCTATAGCGTACAGCTAAAGCTATCTGGGGAATAAGCGCGCATATCTACCTCAAAACGTATGTATGTGTGTGTATATATGCATGCGTGCACTGTCGAGCGCACCTTGCGCCGGCGCTGTATGGTAGCCCCGATGATCGCAGAGGAGGTCGAAGCCAAGGCCGCGCAGCCCCAGGACAGCCGAGGAGATCTGGTAGCTTTGGGGTTGGGGAAGGATGGCCAGAGCAGGGGCCTAATCGTGCATTGCATGCAATCTGGAGCTGCATATCGGCTGCCCTTGCAGAGGAGAGAGGCCTTGGCTTTGGAAGCTGTTGCCGAGGCCCCGCGCTCAATCCCGATCCCGCAGTGCTGCGCTGGGGCCGTTCGGGGATGGCCTGCAAGCCTTGGAAAATTGTCCACAGCGTTCCAATAATTCCATGCCGAGCTTTCAGTCACCAGCCTGAACTTGGAGGAGGGCGTATCTCTCAATGCCTGCTTCCGTTTCCCTGCCTCCTTGGACAACGTCCACCTAGTGCCAATTATGAGTGACGGAATCCCGAAACCTCTGCAAAAGCGAAGCGACTGTACCCCACGAAAGCGTCCATCGTGCCCTGCCTTCGAGCCAAAAATCTAACAAAAAGCGGTTGTTGAGTGCCGTGGGATCGGCAAGCGATAGCGAAGACACGCATAGCTTTACCATGCAGCCAGATTGGGTGATATTGTGTGCACGGCTTGCTGCATCAACATAGTCTGTGTTGCTTGCAGCCCCCTGTCTCTGCCAGAATGTCGCAAGTAGTTGCAAGCATGAACCAATGAATCGCAACCCTGTCAGGCACTTTTCTCATCTGTGACCAGCAACGCAATTGAGAACAAAGCCTGCGGTGGTCTAGTGGACAACAGCAGAGTGAGTGAAAACGGAAGGCACAAAGAAGGGAGCGCTTCATCATCTGGCTGCGAATCTCAAGCGGTTCACATGTAGTCCTTCTTGTAGGATGTGCCTCCGACCTGCCAAACACGGACAACAGACATCCACAAATTATCTTGTGATTGCTCTCGCAGGCGCTCGACCTAGGACCTAGTCACAAGTCGCATGGTCCACGACGCATGGGGCAGGACAGTGCGGAAGCAACTGAGCTTTGCGCCCCAGGATTCCTCAGCAGCGTGAGACTCGGGTCCATCCGCAGAGCAGCACGTACTGACTTACCGCACGCTTCCGCACTAATTCCCACCCCAGGAATCAAGAGAGCTCACCGTGACACCGGACTGACTGGGTTTACTTCTGCCGTCGACCTTGATTATGACCTGATCGTTCAACCGATAAGCTTAGAATGTTGGAGAAAGCAAGAGCCATCCTTAATCTCTGTTCAGAGGTCATGGTGTTCGTCGGGTCTGACCGGCGCCATCTCTGCTGCATGTCTGCTGGTGCTGCATACTCGGTGCCATGCCCGTGTTCTGCTGGCAGCTTACCCCCGACCTTCTCGATGGCCTCGCAAAAGGGGTTGATTTATCAGCGTACATGTACCAAGTGGCCGAGCCTTTTTTATGGCCATCTTCGCTTCATGCACATCAATGCCGTTGTCGAAGACATAATCCTCGTGATAGACATTGCAACCAAAATGTGAATAGACCAGGCGTCTGGATACAGGGTACTGAGCTGGTAATTCTGGGTACTGTGTGAAGTTCTTCGGCAACGCGTAGTCAATTGACAGCCCCTGCTGGCCGAGGCCAATGCAATACGTCCGGAATGCGGGGGCGACGGCAAATCGGAAGAGAGTCGCCCGGGACCGCTCATGAGCATCCGCGCACACATGGAACTTTACTGCACCCTCTGGCTTGGAGTCCTGAAATTTCCTCAAACGAGACATCAAGCCCTCCAGCTCACCTGGTGTGTATTCTGCGAACTCCATAAGCATGTGGTGGTCAAACTCCTGCGTTAGCGCTTGCAGCTTTGCCGGCAAAGGCTTCGGCAAGATGCCGTTGAACCACCAAAGGAACTTGTCGCAAACGATGGTTGCAAACGGCAAAGGCACAGATTCGATGAAAAGCTTCAGATTCCACAACGGCTCCAGTCTCGTCATTCCTAAGATCTCAATCATCTTGATCAGGATCCGTCCTGCCTGGTCCACTGCATCATGCACCTCGCGGTTGATGTACTCGCATGACTTTGCCATACAGTCAGGGCTGGCAATGCAAACCTCTCGCTTCAGCGCCTGGGCCGTCTCAAAGTCGCAGCAGGAAGCCCAAATCACGCTGTCTTTCTGAGGCATGGGAAATGTATCGTGTAGTGTCGCCAATATCAGAACTTTACCTTCTGAGCGATTGCATTCGACACCACTAGTATCTGCATTGTACCGAGAAACATTGCTGTCCAACTTGGTGAGGTGCTTCCGGTAGTTTGGCCAAGATGCTGCAACGGTACACTTGGGATCCAAGTCTTGAAGGCCCAGTTCGGTGGCAGACTCGAGGAAATCTAACGCATCCCTGCCTTTTACATTGAGACCCAGGGTGTCCACGAGCTCCACCTCGCCTCCTTCAGCAACACGGCAAAACAAGGCGCGGTTTGTGAATGCCGGCCCCTTCCGGATCTGCGTCCCTCCGCTTCCATACGACACTCCCGCAGCAACCGATGGGTTTAAGAAGATTGACCCAAGCACAGAATGGGAGTCTCTGTTGTACTTGTTTTTCAATTCGCTCTGAAGCTGAAATATGCCAGCTCCTGCAAAGCACAGCACCTGGCCTCCATCAGCTCCCACCGGAAGGATTTTGTTGAGCCGCCTCATGTTTATAATCACGGTCGGCCTGTCGCACTCCCCGCGCGGGACAGAACCTCCTGTAAGTGAGGTGTTGGCGCCCTGTGGCAAAACAGCCACGCCTGCAGCACAGCATGTTCTGAGAACTGCCATGGCTTCGTGCAAAGAGCCCGGCTTCACCACAGCCAGTGCGGTTCCTTCGCCTAGCCGCGAACCCCTCATGGTGACATTGCTGCTGACGTTGCCTCTGCCAACGATCTCGCCGAGCTTGCCTGCAAGTTGCTGCTGAACATCTGTAAGTCGCACTTCACAGCCACAGTGCCTGTGTGGCTTTGACTCCTTCGGCTTGTAACCCACGAACAAACCCGAAAGGATCCCAGCGCCGGCTGCGAGGGCCACAGCCCCTCGTCGGGAGCCACCGCCAGAGAGCGACAATGAAACGGAGGCGCAACGGGCTGCGCGTGACAGCCTAATGAATGCCATCTCGGCCGAAGCCGCCCAAGCCGAAGATCCCTTGAGGAGCCTTTCGGAGGCTGTGAGGCTCGGGCTGATGCAAGCCAAGCGCTGGCAGCTAACTTGGCCTGAGCCAAGATGGGCGAGTCAGCATGTTCGAGACGACGGCAAGAAAAATCCTGCAACACTTCCTTTGCATTCTCGCGATGAAGCTGAGGCTGCACATCCACGGTGGAATAGGGACTGCGCTATGCTCGTAGCCCCTTCAGGACACCTCGCACCCGACCGGAACGCGTTGAATTACTGCAAGAGCATGCAGGCCGTGCGGCCGCACAACCGGTGTGCGATGCTTTACACCCTGAGTCGAGGATCAAAAGCCGCACTCACCGACGAATGGCGTCGTACGCGCGCAGTCGGGTGAGCTTGAATTTGGCGGACCTACAGGACAGAGGGGATGCCTCTCACGACATAAGCTAGTTGAATAAAAACTTTCTCCGCATTGGAGTGCCGGTTTCGGCAGGAAAACATGCAAAGCCGAAAGATGCAGCCAAGCCGACAGACGACCGCGAGGGAGGGCCCTATACATGCTCCATCTGCAGGTGCGTCAAGTGGAGAGGTGCCACCTCTCCCGCCACCCTCTGGTAGGAGTAGCCGGTGAGAGGCTTGCTTTCGGCATTCAAGCTTTCGATTAAGAACTCGTTGCTATCGCGGCCTTTCGCCAGAGCTTCCTCTCGGCCATAGAGGCGCAAACCTCGGGCTCCATACGTCTGGTACGGGTGCGCTCTCAAGACACTTTGGCTGGCATAGGTCCCATAGAGGACATATTCGGAGACACGCTCGAAGCCCTCGGCAATGCCGAGGATCTTTAGCGGCCAAGCCTCTGCACAGTCCGTGCCAAGGTTGGTCTCAATCAGATCCAGCATCTGGCACAGAACCCCCTTGTTGAAGACCATGTGGTGTGCAATCCAGGTTCCTCCCTTGCACGGCTGAGTGGGCTCCATCTTGAGGATATGCCGGGTGCTCGAATCGTAGGCTTCCTGATGCCTATCAGAAAGGTACTTCTCCTGCAGTGGCGCGACGTAGCACTGCGTGCTGTTGGGATTTGTCAGCGGCCAAGGTTCGAGCACAATCAGATCCGCATCCCACACACAGAAGTTCTCAGAGATCCCCTCAATGCACTGCCCCGCTCCCAGCTTTAGGAGCTGCTGCCACCACCAGCCGAAGTCGCGCGGGCTCTTCGTTCCCTTCCAAGCCTGCTTCAGATCCTCTCTGCTGAAGTTTAGGGTCTTCTGGAAGTAGGATTCCTCGTCGACGAAGGAAATCTTGCCGCGCGGGAGGCTCCACTCCACCATGGCCTGCGAGACGGCCTTCCTTGCCTCTTGCCGGCAGACAATGTAGATATGCCTGGGAGCATAGTGTGAAAAGATGCCCTCGAGGACAGTGCGTGTGAAGGGCCCCATGGCTTTCAGCGGAATCACGAAGTCCATGGAGGGTACCCGCACGTCCTTCCTGGAATCTGGTAGGATTAGTTGCAGCTCGAAGGAGAAGAGGGCAACGCAGACGGACGCAAGCATGGACAGCGTCAAGGTGCTTCCGGCCACCAAGACCCCAGACGAGCTGGCGAGGGACCCGACGACAAGGGGGATCACAACGTCCGCAGAGGAGTTGAAGAAGCGGCAGCCGTTCATGAAGCTCTTGCTGCGTTCTTTGGGTGCATGCAGGATGGACAGGGCAATGGCCGCACCGGCGCTCAGGCCGCAGGCAAGGCCCAGGAGACTGGCCCCCTGCACATAGAAGCCCATCCCTGGCATGCAAAGAACCTGAATTCCGACAGCGGACAGCAGCACGGAGACCAAGACCAGCGGAAGGATGCCAAGGCATTCCATCAACAAACCACCCAAGGGCGCAGCGACCAGAGATTCCATCTGCGACATGAAGGCCACGTTGCCCACGAAGCTCGTGGAGATCTCATTCTCGGCGCCAATCAGGGGAATCAAGAACTTCTGAGCCTCCCTGGCGATGGCCATCGTGAAGATGAGGAAGCAGACCTTTGCGAACTGCCACGAGATCCATGCGAGCCTCGATGAATTCTGGCTTGAGGCTGGTACCGCTGGCAAGGTTGGCAAAGTGCCTTGAGTGGCAGCGTGGGCCCCGGCTTCACTCTGCTTCTGCGGTGCTGGCAATGTCGCAGCCTCGAGGTCCTCCGCCTCGGTCGGTGTTGACGCCTCGGACTCTGCAGACTCGTGGTGCAGCTTCTGCATCTTCCGGCCCTGCAGTGCGCTGCTGCAGGTTAGCAGGAGGATCAGGCCGGCGTAGAGCAAGAAGCCCCCGCCGCACAAGAAGCCGAGGTTGGTGTAAACCGTGCAGTCCACAAAGGAGGTCACGAAGGCAGCCGCTGCGATGCCAACAATGTTGGAGGCACTCACCCAGCCTGACACGAAGGCCTGCCCATCTCTCACTTCTTCTGCCTGGTAGAAGGTTCTGGCGACTACATGCCTCAGTCTAAAGTTTGCATAGCCGGCACACGACGGGCGGTTTGGGCATGAAGAGCTGGCATGCAAACAAAAACGTGCTGCACTCCTTTGCATGCAGGCCGCAGGGACTGGGCAAAGCCCACGAGGCCTGCAGCCCCTGTCAGGCCGTAGAGGCGCAGCTGGGGCTCAGTGAGCACCCCACCAAGAACTACGCCCATCAAGCCCGTCGAGGCAGCCACGATGCACCTCGGCTCTGCGGTGGTCGCCGGTCAGCAGAGCAATCCAGACAAAGAGAGAAAGGGCTGAGGGAAATCTGCGGTGTCTTACGGCCGCGGCGCATCAGCCAGGGATGGAGCACACTTCCGAGTTTGAAGGCAACCAGGTTCGCAAAGACCAGACCCAAGCCGAAGCTGCCAGCGACCAGACCAGCACTGCCCGCACCGCCCATGCCAGCAGACACAATGTACTGCGGCGCGGCGACGATCAGCAAACCTGCGCAAGGCACGCAAGGTCTCGAGACAAGTCCTGTGGTTTAACACGAGTTTTTCAAGCAGCATGTGCCTCCACAGGCATGCATCACCGCATTGGGCAACAGAAGAGTCACCCACACGTGCAAGGACACACTGGAGCCTGCTTTGCCGAGTCGTACAGACTTGTGACCTTTGAAAGCAGCCAAACCCAACATCATGATTAGTATGACCGCGGCTGTGACCACAGCTTTCCCAATGTGCCACATCATCTGCCCGACGCTGTCCGGGTCCAAAGCAGCGAAGCCTTCCTCCACCATGGCTCCGTTCAGCTCCATATCGCTGGCGGGGGCAGCACGTGTATGTGCCGCTTGAGTGCACGAGCTAAGGAACCCAGCACGTGGCTGGTGCTGTACTGACGGTTCAACGTCAGCGCACATTGTGACGTGTGTTGGTACTGCACTTTGCTTGGATTAGTCAGCGCACTTTGTAAAATCAAGCCTGCTCCTAACCCTGGTTCGCCGTGCATGCCGTGGACGCCCGCCTGGCTGCCTGCCTTCCATCCCTGAAGTCTTCCTTCGCTCTTCATTGCAGCTCCAGCAAAAAAAGCTGAAACAGCAAAATACCATCGAAAAACTCACAACGAAAGAACGATTCCCGCAGCAAATGTCTTCGCCTCAATCTCCAAAACTGAGGGCCTACCGACAGCGGGACACATGGGGGGACCTCCGGCCGGGCTGTCGAGAACAGAGAGAAACACTGCACGAGGGGACCTGCGGACTGGGACCTGTCCTGCCAAAAAAACCGGGACCAACCCGACCGCAAAATTACGACCACCCAAAACTGAGAAACTCATGATTTGTTTGACACTCACACTCGGACAAGCCTGGCAAGGTCTGTAGCGATACTGGTCCAACGACTTACTCAATTCTAAATTGGCTCGTGTCACCAAGTACGACTAAGTACGATTGGCTGTCAGGTGGGGCTAGCAACAAGACAGCAGCAAGTGTTCAAGCATACAAAGAAGCTCATTAGGGTCAGCAGCACCACGGTTGAATGTACGACGTACGGATCGCAGCTTGGCCAGGAAGCACTGCATTGCCGCAGGTCTCAATTCCCTCGCACCCAAACATCCCCACAGGCTCACTGCCGATGAAATGACGGGCTCCCAACCCTGCGCTTTCTTGCCCCTTTCACTCGTGGCAGAGCTTGAGCAGGAGATCTGCGCAGGGTCGGTCAATACCTACGTGGCCTCTTTCTCAACAGGCTTAGGGCTCACCACTTGAAATCCGTGCATCGTCGACCAGGCGCAGACTCTACTTGCAACCTCTGCAGTCTGCGGGTGCAGAGCCTCAAAGAATTGGGGCTGCTGGGCGCCTTCCCTGCAAGAGCCTCGGCTGTGCCCTCCGGAGGCTTTGGCTTTGACATGAGAAACATGTCATTGTGCGGCCACTGACTCAACAACTGTGAGCTCGCTGCTCGTGTGCATTGCTCTTTTTTGGTGCTCTTGCATCACATCAACATGACGGCCAAGTCTCCGTGCAGTATCGCTCATGGGCGTACAAGGCATTCTCGGGTATAGCTGTGGCAGCATGGATTTTGTGCGGCGTCCAGGAGCTTCCCACACCAGGCGTTCCAGCATCCATGCCAAAGAGTTGACCTGACATCTTCAACTTCGGGAACTTTGCTGCAACGACCCTACCTACATAGCCGTGTTTGGGTCAGACAAGATGCCAGAAGGCTCTGCATGCTGCTGAACAAAATAAGAGATTTGTAGGCGTGGCACCAGGCTCACCAGGTCATCGGTATCGAACTCGGCGGCACGGGAAGTCCTCCCACGGAGAGCCAAGCTATCCAAGTGCAGGGTCAAGCACAGAGCATCCCAACAGAGCCTGACGTACTGGAGGAGAGGGGGTCCGAGCTCCCGGAGCTTCAAGCCTCATCTGCACTCCCTCAGCGAGCGACAAGAGCAGGGCAGCTGGCAGCCAAGTCGCAAGATTGACTCGCACCGGCCCACATCAAGCGGCTCAGCTCTCGCGCTGCAAACTTCTGCAGGTCTCGAGCAGCCTCGCCCAGCAGCACACGAAGAGCCGGTCGGCAAACATACGGCTTCAGCTCCTGGAAACCGAGACAACGCATGGGAACACATGCAAGACATAAAGCCGACGGGTGCCCAGCCAAGACCTGAAGCCTTAAGCTTACAAGAATTTCTGCCCTGTAGACATTGTAAAGGTTGGAATATTTATTTTGTCATTTAGTTGTCGTATCTTTGTCCCCGCGCCTTGTCATTTGGTTGTCGTTTTTTTGTCAGTTCCATGGGATGTCCCTGCATGTTGTCATTTCCGTTGTCACCTCGCGTGGTTTGTCCCTGCACACCGTCGTTTTGCTCATCCTGAGTATGTCTGTGCCTGTAGCTTGTCATTTCGCTTTGTCTCTTTGCCTTCTCTATCATTCCAGAGGCCCTGGAGTGGCTCGGAAACTATTGAACAAGTTCCTCATCGACTCTGCCTTGCCTGTGCCATGTGGGAAATCTTTTTGATCAGTCGGCGGGTTTGTTGACATATATGTTTAGGTGATGAATATTGCTTCGCATGCGCCATCCCAGAAAGACGGCTTGCAAGGGTTGGCGGTTGGGGGAACTAGGGTGACGCCCACACATGATTCATTTACGGAGGTGGAGGAAGTGGGGGGAGGCCGAGGGAAAGTCACAGCCATCGACCCCAGCCAGGCCCAGGATTTTCTGAGCCTGGATTGGAAATCACGCCCTGCTGCTGACGCTCGTTTGTTGTGGTGTAGTTTGCTTACACTTCTTGCAATGTTCCGCCTGGTGGGGGCTTACCGGCTGGTGCTCATGGCTCGTTTCCCACTTGGAACTGACGCCCCACCTTCCCTGCTCTCACTCAGGGGAGGAAGGGAGGAAAGGGAACGGCAGGGCAGGGCAGGGGTAGGCAGGCAGGCGCAGGGCAGGGTAGGGTAGGCAGGCAGGGAGCAGGGGAGAGGGCCTAAGCGAAAGCCTCGGCAATTTCAACCCCAAGACCCCGATGTTCTTCAGTATTCACTTGGGGCTCAACAATCTGAAACCCGGAGACACTATGCACCAGAGCAGCCCATAAGCCAAACAAAAAGCAGGGCTCGCACTACGATGTTTTATCTTGGCTCCCATCCCTGTGACTACGCGACTCTTATTTATAATGTGCTGTGAGACTCTGTGAGTCTGGAAGGCTAGGGCGGCAAGGGCTGCTTTGGACCAGTGTTGCTGGCCCTGCGGCGTCCTGCGGCCAACCCATAAGGCGGCAATGCCTTTGCCACCGGGCAAGAGACCATGCTGCGTTGATGATGTGGCGAGGTTCGAAGTCCTTGCATCACATGGTGGGTTGATAGCGCCTGCAATCCAGAGCAAAAACGAACTCATCCCGCCTGAGCCCCGCTGGTGCGGATCTCCCTAGCTGCGTGCTGGAGCATGCGCTTCACAGCGCGCGTGGTGGGCCCTCTGCCATGCACTCCCAGAGTATATGCGCCCCACATCGAGATGGACAGCTCCTGCTTCAGAAATGCCGACGACTGCACGGCGGTAGTCTCTCACAACCCTTGCCCAGTTTCAGCTTTGTGCTGTGTCTTGCACCGCCTGAGGCCTGTCTACGGATGTCGCACATGCCTACATCCTGCCTGTCCTGGGGCCGAAACTGCTTCCAGTGAAGATCTGCTGCTCTGGCCGCCAGAATCTCCATCGGCACTGGTGCTTCACATCGTAGAACGGCATTGGCCCAAAGGAAGTTGGAGATGTCCTGGGGCATCCACTTGCTAGCTTTGGACCTCTGTGTCTCACTGGCAGCAGCCCAGCAGAAGTCTTCGGAGCGGACCTTGGCCTTGGCAAGGGCCCAGGTCAGTACCACCATGTGCTTCGGCTCAAATTGCTGTAATTTCGTGCTGGCTTCCTCTGCCAATACTGTCAACAGCTCTTCTGCCTGCAGCTGCATGGTTGCGAAAGCCCAGGCGATGTTCGCCATATCTTGTCCATCCATGCGAGCCGCACAGGCTAAAGCTGCAATGTTCAGTGCCTGCAAGGCTCTGTCTGCACAGCCGGCACGCTCGAGGCGTAGTCTTGCTGCTGCCCAGCTTGCGATGGCAAGATCACGAGGCTGAGCATTGCCAGCAACAGTCGACAAGACTAGCTCCGCACTTTCCTGGTGCAGCCGAGGCAACGCATCAGTCGACTGACTTGACTGTGCCAATAGATGCAAAGCCGTGGAAGCATTCACGGCCCCGAGTTTGTCCTTCCAAGTATGCACCGTCCGAAGTATTCTTGACGTCGCCCCTGCATCCAGGACGGATGTTGGATCTTTGCCAAAAGCTGCTGCCAATATTTCTGATTGAATCTGTAGATCCAGCTTCGAGACTCCCTGGTTCAGAAGCCGATAGGTAGCACCTGCCTCACATGCGAGACTCAGGTGCTTTGAAATCCTGCTCATGCGACGACTGCCAGGAGCAAGACTTGCAAAGTCAGCACGGCAGACAGAATAGAAGCCATAGCTTGAGATGCTACGATGCGGTCAGCCGAAACGATTCCGCTGCCTTCCCAGCGTTCTGTTACAGCGCTGGCTTTAGATCTTTGTAGAAATTATTAACAAAAACTCCAGCCAGACATGAGCTTATGTTGCCATGGCTTGATTTGCAGAGATATGCTACGGCCATATTCAAGCCATGGGCAAAGACCTTGGCGTGTCAACGTGCAACACCCATACGCTGAAATGCATAATGCTTTCTTCGGAATGGATGCGCTGACACCGCAGCCATTGCCGCCACATCCACGTGCTTACTCGCCTGCATCTCTCTCCCAGAACGTCACCTGGTACTGGCCCAAAGGAAGACATCGAAATAACATTACTGCACGTGTTCGTCCGCCTTCGGGTAGCTGCACAAAGTACAGGCCGCACACAGCTCCAGCAAAAGGAGCTTTCCAGCTGACCAGCTCAATTCCCGAAACCTGGAATGCTTTGATATCTTGGTCACATCCAAGCACTTGCACTGGCATCGCTGCCGTGCCATCGCAACTACAACTGCACCTCCACTCGAGGAGCGCCTGGAATGAGCAAGAGAGAGCCACCTTATCGAACACACAACAGCGCATGCATGCTCTTCACGCAAATACCTGCACCAAGACAGACAAACAAAGAAAGAAATAAAGAGAGAAAGAAAAAGAGACAAACAGAGACAGAGAGAGAGAGAAAGCGAGAGAGCGAGAGAGAGAGAG